ATGAAAATGTTTGCTTCCCCTTATCTTTGCAATGAATTAATACACAATTTTCCTAGACTGACCTTGTCAATAATTCAAAAAGCCCTGCTACATTTCAGTCGCTTTATCCTATTACTATGAATAGCCAAACCTGCCAGGCCAGGAGCTGGAAATGGTTGGTAAGTAACAGTCTTCTATGGACATCAGGGGAATGATATGGCTTTGTTTCACAGTGATCTCTCTGGTAGACAAATGGACTCGGTGTCCAGGACAATGGCAAAAGCATCCAGGGGACTGTTGGGGGGAACTGGGTGGACAAGTCTTGAGGGATGTACAGGAACATCAGAGAAACACAAGGGCTAACTTCTTGCTTTGGGGAAGTTTGCTGAGCTGTTGCCTGCCTCCCTGGTGGTAGTTAATAATGGGCTCAGTGTGAGAGGTACTACACCTGCCATAGCAGGTAGCGACAGCAAAAGGTAGCCAGCACCTCTCTATGTGTACACAGGGAACAGAGGCCTGCCATGACATTATTGGTTGTTTTTATTATCACAGCCCCTGTATTCCCAACACAAACCAAGGTCGCTTTGTGCTAGGTGTTGCACATGCTGAGCAAAGGACAGCTCCTACTCCCAAGAACTCAGTGTCAATAGATATGCCCAGGGCAAAATTACTTTCCCCAAGTTGCAAGGGTTAGGCTGGGAATAGGACCTAGTCTGTTTGATCTGCAAGCCCTGACCTCATGTGTTTCAGGGAGCCTTTTCATTTGACTTCCAGGCTCCATCAGTCAGAGTTTGCTAAGAGACTTTGTGCGGTGCTTTGAGTGTTCCAGATGGAGCGGCTGGTCTGGCGCACAGGAACCTAGAGACCCCCGCCTTTTGCCTCATGCCCTGAATTTCCACCTCTACTATATGTGGAAGTTAGAGGCAGAATATAGATAACACCTACTGCTTATCAGGGTTTCCCAACAGCTGGAGTGTTATAAGTGCTAACCTGGCACCTGCATTCACTCCAAGAGTAAAAGAAACATGGGAATATTTGGGAGGCTACGTAAGTCACCTATCAATATTGTTTTAACATTTATAGTGTTTGCTCATGAATTTTGATCAGAAAACAAACAACTATACTTGGAAAGCCCCAGTGTGGATGTGTGTAATGAGCTGCATTTCCCTCCCCCAGATTCTTCACCACAACCTCTGAAACCAGATCAGCGTGTCATATTAACTGCGCCATAGAAATAGGAAAATCAACCCTCAGAACAAGAGCAAAAAGCAAAGATAGTCGATTCTCGCCCTAGATGAGGTATATGCTTATCAGAATGATGGACCTCTGTGCTACATGTAATTCCATACTCAAGAATGTATGGATGTTGTCCAATCTAGACTTCAAGGTACTTTAACATAAAGCAAGGATACTTGCCCACAAAGACTTCAATGCACGTATTGTCTGTGTATTAACCACCTTCTATTTTATGCATTTAAAATGTTCCTAATCAGCATGCTATGCAGGTGCCATGCTGGGTATTTCTTGCTAAGATAATAAAAATAGGCTCTCTACTTACTCGGTTTTTATAAACTTATGAAACCGATCCAAGGCTTTCCCTTATCTTTCATAGTTTTCCTACAACCCTGAAGGAGAATGACACTACCTGCTTTAGACAGAAGCTCACTGCATTCACAGCTCCATATGACTTGAGCATTGAATTTTCAACAGAGAAGTTTTCCTTTAAAAAAGGAATACTACCACTGACTCAACCCCCAGACACTGAGCGACGGATCCTTCTGGACAGAGTTGGACTACTTGTATTATAGGACATCTCCTCAGGGGCCACTCTGGATCTGAACTATTCTACAGTTTAAATACTCCTCAAGAACCCCTTTCTATTCGCTTGATAAAGGGGTGGAAATAAAACACACTCTCATTCCTCTAACGTGTATCCTGAACTGCTTAGCAAAGATAGGCTCCCTATAGAGCTTACAAACTCAGAGGACAAAGGGAGTGAAGGAGAAAAAGGGAAACTGAGGCAGAAAGTGGAGAATTGCTGTGCCTAAGGCTACACAGCAGGCAGAGGCCAGGCTAGAACCCAGGTCTCCCAAGTCCTGTTCACTAGGCCGGGCTTTCCTCTAAAGGAACAAGCTAGAGGCCTACCACTTAAAGATAAACTAGACAGGCTAGGTGTATGCTAAATCTCATCCAGACTTTTCCAGAACAATTTTATTAGTCCTGCATCACTTTTTACCAAGATCACCAGCAGGTGTGGCCTGAAACCAAACAGGAAAAGCTTGGACTGCAGAAAGGGGAAGGAGCCTTGAAAAGTTAGATTTATAGCATCCAGTGAAGAGCTGAAGGGCAAGGGGGTACAGAAGCACCAATTACAAATAATTTAGCATTCTAGCAATTGCACAGCTATTGATTAGTGAAAGCAAAAATGCAAATGAGGGAGATGGAGGAATGGGAGATAGGAAATCAATGGTGGCTTTATCAGGCTTACACAGTGAAGTCTAAAGGCATTTTTAGTTCTGCAGAAATTATGTTGGTTGGAGATGACTCAGCGCTGTCCCGCTCTGAAATCTGTACATGACTCCCTTCACTGGTAACTATGCCCATGTCTAAAGGGTCCTCAGATACCCAACAGCAATCTGCATTCTTGCTGGCCCTATTTATAGAGGACTGGTGGACAAGCCTGTGGTTGAGAGGTGAAGAGCCCCGAGTTCCAGTCCTGATCTTCACACCAGCTTGCTGTGTTGGCCTGTGGCAAGACGCTTAACATTTTTCCTCATTTTTTCCTCCACAAAATGGGTTTAATGAGACTTAGCACTAGCCTTAGTGATGCGTTGCAGGACTCCATTTGTAAATGTCTGCATGGGAGTTGAGCACCTCATCTGCTCTAAGTAATTGTTATGTACGCTATTAATCCTGGGATATCTACCTGGCTGCAACAAGTGGGGATGCCTGATCACTTCCTACAGCTACAGTGAACATTTTTATTGCTGCTGCATTTTAGTGTGTCCATAAATCTTCTCAAAGAGCTGATAAGATAGCATAGCTCTGATAAGATAACCGACAGCTCTATTTCAGCATCTCATCTCATCAGGGTGATTTCACTGTCCTGCTGACCCCTTAACTGAGGTTAGGAATGGGGATTATGACAGCTCAGACCTGAGAGAGATCACCCTGTCTCATTTACTGAGACATAGCCCTATAGGACACACAGAGTCTGCTTTCTAACCCATGAAAACAATGTGCAAGCTATTGTACAGTGCCAGGAGGCACTTCTGGGTGGACAAGAGAAACATTTGTGAATAACTGTCAGTGGAACCCAGACCACATTAAGCTCCCTCCAACAAATTCCCAAAGACCCTTTACAGGCACTGTTAATGACCATGGGTGGAAGATGAAGCATTATTTAGAGGTTATGGAGCAGGAATGGCACACAGAGATAAAGTGTACACCCATGGTCTCATGGGGGCAAGTGGCAACACTTCCATTGGCTTCACAGGGAGTAGAGCAGTAGAAAAAGAGGGGATGGAGGCTTCGCTCTCAGAGCAGAAGATCCAGAAAATGAGCCCCATACCAGGAGATAAAGGGAGAAGACTCCCTGTTTCCTCAGGGCCCAGATAGCTTCAATGGACTCCCACCCTGTATGTGGGCAACGAAGCAGTAAGCCTCATCCAACCTGGTACTGGGTAGTTTATGCATGTTGGGCGGCAGCTGCAGCATCCTGCATTGGATCATCTCCCAAAGCAGGAAGCTGAGCGCACCTGCAGAACGGCAGTGAGATGGGGCAGGCTAAGTCAACTGATTTACCACCAGCCAGTCACATGGGTCAGTCTCCCATTTTCTCCATGCTTCTCTGGAAATTCTACTGCATCAACATTGTTTGGTTATTCTGGGTCAACATAGGACTAGACATGGTATTTACATGCAGTGGTAAGATCCCTAGGTAGACTAAGAGTTACTCAGATAGACAGAAATATGCCTTTGAGCAAAGACCTCACCAGGACGGCTACTGGCTGACACAGAGGTAAAAAAAAACAAGAAGAGAGATGAGAGTTGAGAGCTGGGAATCAGATTGTCAAAATCACAGTTTCTCTCCTTCTGCTAACAGCAGTAGCTGTTTGCGGAGTGTGAGACTATTTCAAATGTTTCACATGAAATCCTGTTTACAGCTAGATGCTGTAGCTAGCAGCCAGGAAACAAGATGGGAATAATAGGCAACATTTGCAAAACTGCCTAAGTGACTTAGAAGCCCAAGTCTCATTTTCAAAAGTGATTCAGGCACTTCAGAGCACACAAGTCTGACTGAACACCAATAGAGATTAAGAGCCACGTGCCTCAGCCTCTTCTGAAAAGTTCTTGTGAAAATCTATCCCAAGTCACAGGCTCCTTTACACTGGGAATGTAACCACAATATCTGTTTTGGGGCTCCAAAGTTATACTGCAAACAGTCTTCAGGAGCCGATTCAGATTATCATTGTTTAGGCAATATCTGAACCACCATTATAGCATAAATTCCCTGCTGCTGACAGTGAGGGAGAATCTGAAGTCAGCCTGAAAAAATGGACTCTTCTTGTCTTTAAGTATAAGAGGGAGAATTCCTTCCTCTCCCCCAGTAATGGGTCAGGACCAGAGCAACCACAATCTGCAGCATTAAATCTGGAGTGTGTTCCATGTGAATGAATTGCAAATAAAGCCCTTCATCAGAACCTCACATGCCTGGTGTGAGGCCTGACCTAACTAAGCCATTGGAGAGAACGGCTATTTTTTTTCAGGGCTGCAGAGTGGACTTTACAGAAGCGCTTGGTGTCAGCCTGCCTGCACTGAAGTCGAAGGGAGTTCTGTCAGTGACATCAAAGGTAAGCTAACACTGGGCTAATGCTTCTGAAAAGCCCAGCCAAAGATGCAGGCAAAAAACCCCCCTGCTTTCCTAAAATGAGGGAGAAAGAGAACATCCCTTGCTCTTCAGCATTTCAAACCAAATCCAGACTAGGGCTGCAAGGTGCTCTCCCTGCCCAATCACTTACCAGGTTGACAAAGTCCTGATAACAGATCTTCCCATCAGAATTGTTGTCTGCCAAAGCCAAGAGAACCTCCAGCTTGTGCGGGTCCAGCTCGGAGCCGTGCCGTTGAAGGAGGCCTCGAAATCTCTCGGTGCTGATGTATCCAGTGCTCTCAGGGTCGAACTGAAAGGAAGGGGAAAGAGCAAAAGTTACTTGCTGGGTAATTGCACACCACGTGCAATTTGTGGCTCCTTGTGGTCCAGGAACTGCTGCAGCCCAATAGGGAGGGCTGTTCTCACCCTGCACTGTGAAGTGTCACTGGCCAGTGGGCCACACAGCTTCATTTCAGATCATTACTCTTGCCAGTAGATCTGCAGATTGTTCCAGAGCTGGAGAGAATCTATGCACCATCACCCAACTAGTGCCAGACAGCCCTGGACCAGGGGCATGAAACCACTGTCTGAGACCTTGTCTCTGATCTGTCCAGGGGGAGAGTGATACCCCAGCTAGTGATACCCCAGCTAGGTCCCTAGAAAGGGCTCTGTACTTGCTTAGAGAGCAGGCTCCAGGTCTTTGGTAGTCAACAGCTTCGCATGATTGCCACAGGTCTGCAGCCAGAAGAAACACTCCTCATTTCTAACTAGGTCAGTTCTCCCTTTACAGCTCTGCTTTCTCCCAATCCAAGAATTCAGCGCCTTGAAAATGTAATGCGTTACCCTGGACTACATGCTGGCCTTTGGCAGTGATGTCCATTACAACCTGTCAGTAATCAAGGTTATTTGCTGCCAGGTTGCTACTGCCTGGCTTTGCAAAGTCAATTCCAAATCCAGATCGTGGGACACAACTGAGCCTCTTGAATTAACATGGCATTTGGGAATAACCACCCAGTCTCATGCTGACCAGGTTCAGTGAGCTGAGGTACAGAAGTCCTTGTTCTCATCAGCCCCTTTAAGTCAATCTCTCCCCCTCACTTCCTACAGCCCTGCCTTGTCCTACAAATTTAGAACCGTTCACAATGGAGTCTGCCTTTCAAAGCAAATACAAGGCAAACAAGACTAAAGAATGCACTGCTTTGCTTTGGCCCCTGAATTATTTTAACTGAGTGTTAGTTTCTGTGGTTTTTCTTTCCTCTTATTTGTAAAGTTAAGACTAGCTGCAGACAGTTGCTACAGCCGGGCATGCAGCCAGAGAACTGGAGGTTTACAGACTCCTTATCCTATCAAACACTGTGCAAGGAAACAACATAACTTACATCACACGTAGAACATTTTCACCATAAAAGATCTCAGAGTGCTTGAAAAATGCTACCAAACCTCACTGGTCACTGAATTGCAGGTGCTTTGTCAGAAGTGGAACAGAAGAGCCATTTAAAATTGTGCACAACAACATGAGACCGATCCAATCGGAGAACCAAAAATCAGTCAAGGTCTGAAAAAGTTGCCTTAAACTGTGAGAATGAAGTTCAGTTTATCCAAGAAATCTTTTATCTAAGAAAGGTTTAAGACACATTTTGGTAACTATTAGCATCTGAATGCAGAGCTCTCTTAGTCTAACAGACAATGGCCCAAGCCAAACAAATTCTGTCAAGAAAAAAGAGCACGTAGCACTGAGAGGATTTAACCAATGTAGTGGATTCTCCATCACTTGGTTTTAAATCACAAGTAGATGTCTTCCTAAAAGTTACCATCTAATGCAGCCAAGAACTAAGGTCTTGAGGCAGGGATTAATAGGTTGGGTTCTCAGGCTGGAGTTACAGAGGTCAGATAAAGGGAACAAAATACTTCCTTACTAGCCTTGAAAAAAATCTATGAAAAAAATTCTGTACCAAAGTGAAACTAAACCAAGTAAGCATCATCTCAGCTCATTCACAGGTGCACTTCTGCGTTCATATTGTCCCTCTTAAAGCCAAACATTTTTCCTCTCCTGGGGATAGGTCAAGAAACACTGCACAGCTGAAGAATTTCAGTGTCATTAAACCAAAAATAAAGAGAACATCAATATATTATTATAACAAATCTATAACAAAACTCCCCAGTTATTACCATGATCCACACATCCTGCTTACCTGGGGCTTTCCAGGAGCAGGGATAGAACCAGGTCTGACTGCTTCCAGCAGCACTGGAGCTTTCCCTCCCTTCCTTCACCGGAGCTAACAGAGCATTGCCCCTTCCACTCTTAGCAGCACAACATGGCTGGTGCAGCTGAATGGATCTAGCCAGTGAATGGCAGCAATATGCTCATATGTACACAAGAGCTAGTTTGTTTTGCTACTCATAGTCCTGGACAGAAACATATCCTGATAGGATCTTAACTGCAAAGCCACTGAATTTTGCCCCTTCAGCTGGCCAGTCCCAGAGCCCTCAACTTTCCCCATTCAAACCATTCATAGAAGAGCCATTGTCTGATTTTGGAGCTCATAACCAACTTTGGAAGAGAGCAAGAGAACCAGGAGTCACACTGTGGTCAGGGGGTGATTTTCCGAGGAGCAGGGGAACTAGGATGTCAGAGCTCCTCAGCTCAGGCTTCTCTTCTGTTCCCAATCAGAGGGACCGATGTGCTGCTGCTCCTGAAGCCAGAACAGCCTTTGAGAGTAATGGAAATCCCAGACTTACTGAACCAGATTGAAAGGCTCACACCAAAGTTGCTTTCCTGTTGATTATTGTGAGACCCTTATCTATTCCCTCTGCTCCACTAGCAACAGTCTGGTTTCCATGGGCCACTTGTGTCGGTGCCAGCCTCTTGCCTTATGGAACAACCTTTACACAGCTTTCCATCTTACTAGCTCTGAATCTCATTTCAAACCTCAGCTGAAATCAGACCCTTTTCTTCTTTCCCTCTGAATCTTAATTTTTTTTCTCACTTGGCACTTTTTTTATTTTGTATTTGGACAGTTAAGTGCATAGGGAATGCAATCTATATGAGAGACACTATCCAAACCATAGTTTCACATCTGTATTTATTCACACCTTTTGCAAAGCAAGAATAATTTCATCTCTGCTTAAAGCCTCCTTCATGCACAATGCAGAAAATGGAAAAGCAAAAGCATCTTATTTATGGTTCCTTCTAAAACAGATAAGTGCTTTTACTGCTGAAGGGACTTTTACATCTAGACATCTTATAAAGAGGTTCTTGAGAAAGTGAGCCAGGAGATAAACAATACATTAAAGCCAAAATAACAAGGCAGCCACGTGCCACTTTGATTTGTTTTCCAAAACACACAGTAGAAAGTGAGTCCCACATTAAATCTGGAATGAATTCCCCACTTTTACCAGAAATGCTGGTAAAGGAGAAAGACTTGTTTCCCAGTGGCAGCTGTAGCAGGCGAACTGAGCTATGCTCGGGCTCATGGCAGCAACCTGCTAACTTTAACTCAGCAGTTCCCAAACCTTTCCCTTACTGACCCCACTTCCAGGCTTGCAAACCTTCTTCCAGTTGCTGCCCTGCTCCTGCAGCTGAATTTCTCTTGGACTCGCAATTCCACTCATAAACGTTATGTCCCCCTATGAAGTCGTGACCCCCAGTTCTGAAACCACTGCTTTCAGTGAAAATCTGCAGACCACACTTGACATTGGCTGAAGACTGGAGTTCACTGAATTGCTTGGTGTCACCCAAGTTCACTGACCCATGGTGGTATCATCAAGCACCAAGGAGAGAGAAATTCAGTGTTCGTTGTAAACACACTGCACCGCTTGGCAATAGATCAGCATTCATGACACGCCAAGCATCAGTACCTGGTCCATACCACGGAAACTAATGATCCTCTCAGAGAAACAAATCCTGCAAACTTTTCAAGGAATCCCAGTGTCATTGCCACCAGCCACTGCACCAGTGAAGGAAGATGATGCCACAGACCTTTCCCAGCTGAAACTGCAATGATTCTTTAACCCAGTTTGGGAGAGCTACAAGGGCTTTGTACCTTTCATAGTTTCATAGTTTCTAGGGTCGGAAGGGACCTGAGCAGATCATCTAGTCCGACCCCCTGCTGTGGCAGGAAAGAGTACTGGGGTCAAACGACCCCAGCAAGGTGTTCATCTACCCTCCTCTTAAAAACCCCCAGGGTAGGAGCCTGCACCACCTCTCTTGGAAGTTGGTTCCAGACCCTAGCCGCCCTGACCGTGAAATAGCGCCTCCTGATGTCTAACCTAAACCTACCCTCTGCCAGCTTGTGACCGTTATTCCTGGTCACTCCTGGCGGTGCTCGGGGGAACAGTGACTCCCCCAATGCCTGCTGATCCCCCCTGACTAGTTTATAACAGGCCACATGATCCCCCCTCAGCCTTCTCTTTTGAAGGCTGAACAGGTTCAGGTCCCGTAACCTTTCCTCATAGGACCTACCCTGCTGTCCCTTGATCATAC